ATACAATTCGTAAATATGAACAGCTATGTTTGTAAATATACATAGTAGTACTGAAAAAATAATTAATTTTTATATAATAAATTTTTAAATATAAAAATACGTATTATGCCATTTTATTAATATTTATAGATTACATAAATGTATATTTTAAATATAATCATCATGGATATTTTCTTCATTTTCCTGTACAGATTAAAAAAATGTATTATCTCACTTTTTACATTACATAACGTTTATAATCGGAAAAATTGATATAACGTACAAAATCATTTTTCTTCAAAATTCCGCACAACCAATGAGAGAAATTTATTCCGTGGTTTCTAGCTGTCTTTTCATGAGAAAGCACTTCCTCGGCGGTTGTACATACCATGATTTACCGAATACCTTACATAGGGTCATGTTTAGATTTATAGTCATGCTGAACTCGCCGGATTCCCTTTGACGATAACGACTTTCGACCGTCCGGATTTCTTTTTTAACTCGAGATTCGACGCGCAGCGGTTTTGTTATGTCGAACAGGCGCGACGCGAACAAGACGTCGCCCAAATACTCTTATTTCTGTCCAGTGTTCCGAAATGAATTGGATTTCCACGGCCGCGATGTAGGCTAAGGAAATAAAGGGTGGCTGTGGTCTATGTGCTGGTCTTCGAGAGAATAAGCTGCGCTGGCTAGAATCGAATAACAACGCGTGGGAGAGCCTTACTCGTCGGAATAATAAGGACTTTATTCCCACGAGATCGAGAAAATCGATCGCACCCTATCACGTCCATCTCGCATTATTGCCACCGGCTGTTTCCGACAACTCGTCCCCATTCCTCTTACGTGACGAGACCTGAATATGACTATACGCTTAACAGAACGCTATGTCTCAGTGTTCAGGGCCGAATTAAAGATTATGTAAATAACAATTATCCTTTTACATCGACGAATGTGTCATGGCTACGTATTATGAAGTTTCAGAAGTCTATTATGTACGTGATAAGAAATTGATTACGTAAATTATAATTCAAATTTATTTACAATGATATTTTTTGAAGTATTCATCAAATGTTGTGCCTTTGTCATAATTTATTTATTTCCTAATTTAATTTAGTTGCTTTTAATTTTTAGTAAAATTTGTAGCAATATTTAAAATAAAATATTTGATGACAAAGAATATAATGAATATATAAAAATATGTATAATTAATATATATATATAGAATATAATTAATAATAGATTTTTAAAATAAAAATTAATATTTTTCTTCCTCGCGTTTAAACCTCATATTTATATTTTTCATTTTCTTTAGCTTTCTAATTGTATTATGTTTTTATTCTATGGCAATATTATTTTAAATATAAATTTCAAAAAATGGATATAAAAACAAAGAAATTTTTTCTATATATCTACAATTGCTGTCAATTCAAATGCTTCGTTGCCCTGAGCGATTTCCATTGACATTGCTTTCATGTGTTTTTTTTTTTTTTTTTTGAGTTTGCAAAATTCGAACAATAGAATCCAGTTCTGTAGATTAGCTAGGTTAGCAAGAAACAGTGTCAAAATATTGAGGAAATTGAAAGGGAAGGAAGAGTGACTATGTGGTGACCGGAATAACGCACATTGATAAAATTACTCTCTTTGTAAAACTGGAGAGAAGAAATAGTTTCAGAAATTGTCTGTGTCTCTCTGCGGCGAGAGCGAAGGAGCGCAAAATTTCATTTATCACTTGCACGAACGAATCAAAGGCAGCGTTTCCGTAATCGCAATTGTATAAGCGCGTGCGATAGTGAATTGTGTGCAAAAAAAGATAAATAAATAAGAAAACGTAGAGAAACAAGACAGAACTCGATGCAGGGAGATTTGTATTATCATTCACATAAATGAAATCATTGAGACTACATGCGCTCCACACATTTCCTTGTTCATATATCATTTCTGACACTTTTCTTCCTCTCATATGATCAATCATGGTAATATACAGGGCTCGAGTGCATTCGTATAGTGAATTATTTTAGGATAAATTTTCGCACGAAATTATAGAGTTGATAGAACTCTCGACAAAATGTTCATAGTTATATTGATTACGTATCCGCGGTATCTTTTTTCATATTAATACTTATACAAGTACATGTGCAAACAAGACTATTTCGTTGTTTAAAAATAAATAGTCAATACAGGCATTTTTTTAAACTTTTTGTTATAATTATTATCGAGAAAGACTCGATTCAAACTTTATTGTGTGTAAAATAACCAATTAAACAACACTCTTGAAAGGATTGATAAACGAATGTCGATTTAACTTAGACATCCGTATAAAGTTGTTTTATATATTTACGTGCTCGAAGACTTGCCTTTGAGAATCGATGGTGCATGCACCGGGTTAATTTTCAATCGCATCTCTGATGTGCCGTGAAAAATTAATGCGTTGTCTGACGCCAGACGCATAGCTATAAGTCTCGCAGCTTCCTCGTTTAAGCTCGGTTCATCCTCCGAGGAACGATGCTCCCTTTCTCTGTATAGCATCTCACTAAACTCAAAGAGCAGCATCTTAATTTTATCCTTTTAATCGCGGAGCTTTAGTCAAACGAGAGGCCAAAATTACTTCTCAGATATGCTCGCACCCTATACATAAAATTATCGTTATTTCATTAACGATTTAGACTTGGTATATTCTACAATTAATTGAAAAATAAATTATTTCTAAGATATAGATCATCATATCGATTATTAGCATTGCTTGTGAATTTAACGGCGCATATATGTTAATGCATCGATCTCGTCAAATATTTCAAATATTTATTCTAAATTTCTTTTAAGATCAATCATAAACGGAGCCATAATATTTTTGCATCCGTAAATTGTTTTACATCTTTTTCAATTATTTTGTTTAGAAGCAATGCAAATTACAATAATATTCGAAAATTATTCAAGAATTATCCTTCAAATTCTAAAATGAATCTGCATAATTATCAATTATTTTAAACGATCAAATTATGTATAAAATATTTATTGTTAATTAATTGTAGGAATATTAATAATTTTAAAAATATTTTATATTAAATAGTTTATAATAAAATGCTTGAAATGTCTTCCTAAAATTAAAATTCAACTAATCTACATGATTCCATATTATAGAAACTGTATTATATGTATACACAAAAATATTAAATATTGTATAGGATATTTACAAAGAACACAGTTGGCAGAGGAATAAGCAAATCTCATCTATTAAAGATTTATATCAAACGTAAGAATACAGATTAAAGCATAATGTAAATCTTTTTATTCACAACGTTTCTTTCTTCTCTAATTTAATGTAAACAGCGAGACATCTCCTTAGGTAAGAAACTGTAGCTCAAGAGGATCAATAATCATAGAGCTTTTATATTACTTAAATCCTTCTTTTAGCATGCATTTTCTAATGTGATAATGGAAAATTATACGCTATTCAATATTACATACATCTGCCGCAAGTGCAATTCAATTTCTGCTAGTCTATTCGCATGATAGCGATCGTACTGGTCTCAATACGTGACCCAATATGTTCGCCGAAGCTTAGAATGCCTCGCTCGCTTATTGAGCTAGACCTATATACACGCAATCTATCCATTTATTTGTTCTGCCTACACTTCCGAATTACCGTTGCTATTCCGTAAGTAATAACACTTTCGATTACACAAAGTTAAAATAGCATCTGTAATAGGAATGTAAAATACATAATTGAATATTTCTATAAATCAGAGTTTATGAATATAACACAACACATATATGTACATACAAAAAAGTTTAAAAAAAATTTCTTAAAGTTTTATGAAAAAAGTGATTTGATGGGAATTATCGAAGGAATTGTATGACATATCTAAATAATAGCTGACATTTTTTATTTAGAACATAAATTATTTGACATTAGAATTAATAACATATTGAACCTTTATAAAAAATTTATTAAAATTCGATACAATAAATATTTTAAAGAAAAGGTAGAATTATTAAATAAGTATTCACAAAATGTATTAACTATATACAAGAACATATGGTTGCATTTATTAATATAAAACGATAGTAACAAAAATTTAGTTGAGCAGTTTTTTCGGAAATTTTTAGAAGAGACAAATATTGAAGAATTAGAGACTGCTATAAAGTTTTTAGTTAAAACAAAGTGAAATTTTTTTAATAATATGCGTTATCATGATAAAATTATAAACATGATAGATGATACATTTCTGGAATTACATGGTAATCAATCACTATTTAGTTTAAACTAAGTTACAAAATAAGCCAAGTATTGCAGTTGACAAAATGATATCTGACCTCAAGTAATATATTTCTCCAAGTGAAAAAAAGGATATTAAACATTTTGTGGCTTTGCTAGACGAATTTATTAAAGCCAAGAATTTTCTAAATAACACTCGAAAAAAATATTTGCAAGAAATTTAGTACTTGTTATTCCAAATCATAAATACTATGCACGAGATTTTATAATATCAAACAAAATATATTATTTTTTTAATATATGTGATCAAAGTGCCTTTAATGAAATTCCACTAAAATTTTTTAGAAAAAATTTAAAGAAAGAAAAATCTGTTTTACTTAAATATAACAAAAATTCATAAAAAACAAAATTTAATGCAGATGTAGAAGTTTTTTGAATCGCTAAGTATGACTATAGAGTAAGATTTGCATAATAATTTGTTTAAATAATGGTAGAAGGTTGAATATTAAAGTAGTGTTAATTACCCATTAAATCGCTTATGGACACAAATAAAAAAATATTAAAAAATGAAAAAAATTAAATATTGTTAATAGTTCTACATTTGTGCTAAATATGAAAAAAATCAGAGTGTAATACTTGGGTAGATTTACTTGTATCAAATAGAGTTCTCGTATTTCTATAATTTTCACAGATCGAAATAAAAATAAAATTTAAAAATGACAAATATTTATTCAACAATTATAACAAGGGAAAACAATGCGAGATAAACATTTCTTCGTTTTATAGATTTAAAATTTTAATACCTTCAGTGAGATTTGTGTCCATGACCGCCGTACGTACTGCCGTGATGGTTATTACCGCCCGAGTTGTGCACATGAGCAAAAAATCCTCCGTGCGGATCGACATAGTAAGTCACGGTCCTGATATTACCTCCTGGTTCCTTGATAATGTACTCACCGATGACCTTTTTCCCTGTGGTTAAAAAAAAACCCACGTGTAACATGAACTTGTACGGCCAACGTTATACATAGTTGACCGTTCGCAAACGTGTATTAATTGTGGAGAATTGGAGATGCGGATCATCGATATTAACGTAAAATGCACGTGTGTACCGTCCACATATTATGTTACGTCAATACCACTACCGCCACAATGTTTAATTAAAATGGAGCGCGCGTTAAAGCGTACTACCGTGTAATCCGACTCCATCATTTATAATCTTTAACTATCACACCGCGGCCATTGTGCTAGATGCAAATAAACGGGAGAGACGATGAGAAAAAAAAAACAAGTTTTCCGCCTCCCGACTTATTGCGATTCAGAGTTGCGCTTTCGAATATCTTTCGCCAAGATCCGCCAAACAAACTTTGATCGAAAATTTCAGAAACTTCAGTAACCGCAACATTTTCCAAGCTATTGCGCAAACACCGTAAAAAAATTCAACAACTTTTTGCATAGTTACACAAATTTCAATAAAATTCATGTAAAATAATTTACGATGTTTAATCTACCGTTAAAAATGATTGGAAAAAGGTAAACAGCGTATATATAAAATATTAATATTTATAATTCCTTTAACTTTAACATAAAAACAAGATAATACTAGTATGTCATAATTTTAATTTAATTTCATTTAAATGATTATTAAATCTCAATCATATTCGCGTACAAAGCGTTTGTAATGAGTTATCTTTTAGAACCGTGTTTACACAAACAAGTTATTATCTTTGACTTTATGTAAATTACGAATTCAGCTTACCGTCTCTTTGCTCTTTTTGTCCATGAAAATCGCCAGTGTGATGATCCTCGACACCATACGAGAACTCATACTTGGGATACGCGACGTAATCTACATGATGATGACCGTGCTTATCGCGGACAACTATTTCATGGCCGGGTCCTTTGACTGGTCCATAAAAATGCGCGAAACTGTGAGCGTGCTCTGTCACACCACTTTGGATCGCTACAAGAGCCAATATAGCCAACAGTGAAACAAACTGTTGACAAAAATAATTGGCAATTATACATACTTTTATATAGAAAACAGAAAATTTTAATATCTAACAGTCTAATATAAGTAAGAACCTTCACTTTATGAATTGCACGAGTAAGTTGCGATAAACAAATATCCATGATTTAATAAAGTTTAAGTCAATATGCAAAACAGTTGTCGTAAAATTACAGTTGCGATAAAATAAAATATAACATCAGGATTAAAGACATGCTGAATGCAACACAGAGATTATTTTATAAAAGCAGGTATTATTTAAATGGATTATTAAAAGTCTTAATAACAGAGAAATTTATTCATTCATAAGAATCATATTATTTAATAGATATTTTAAAATACAACAACGTAAAATGGTTTTGCATTTTGAAGACACATTTATAGAGATTTATATGAACATTAAATAGCTAGAAAATATATTGCAATTATAAATTGTAATAATCGTCTTGCCGATTAATCGAACATAAAGATACAAACCTTCATAGCTATGTTTTCGGTGTTTAGTGATTCCTAAATGCGAATGATACGTCTGTCGATATCGATGGAGATTTATATAACGCGCGCCAGTATTCGTTTTTGCCCGGAGCATTTCGCCACTGTTATTTATAGTAGACATACAGAACTGTCCCTGTGAGAGTGACAAAAAGTACATGAACCAATCACTTTCCTATGCATAAGATTAAGCATTCCTGCGCTGAAACGCCTTTATAGGTAAATGCCATGCATGTGGATGCCTGGTTTCACTAGAGTATAATAATCGATTTCGCTCTATCGATTGTGTCATAGACGACTTTTTCTCTCAAAAGTCTCGCGAAACAATTCGTTTTTATTAGGATAGATCAAGAGGATCAAGCGCGGCAAAATATTTCAATATGACGATATGGATCATTCGAGATACGAAGAAAATTGGTTTTCTCATTCAAACAGATAGTAGTATTGAATCTTTATTTGTCCAAAAATTTTCATGTTTTAAATAATTTTTTCTAGATAATTATAAATATATTTTAGATCAATTTCAGAAATTTTTAGATAAACTAAATTTTTTTATAATCTGAATTATCATTTTTCGTAAATAAAATGACTCGACTCATTTGATCTCGTATAAAAATATTTAATCTCAATTATTTACTAAATAAATCTTTTTAAGAAATCTGAGAATTTTTAAATGGAGATTACATAATAATGAAATATTTACAAAAATATTAACTGATTAATTTATATAATATTAAAAAATATACTAATATTATATATAATATATAACAAAAATAGAAATTATATTAACAATTTTTTTGCAGAGATCTGTTTGAATATAAAAATTTTTAGATAAGTCAAAGTAATTTTGACAATAGAATAAACATTGTATCATTTTCTTCAACAAAAATAACAATTTTCGATTAAATTGTATCACTGATTTCATATATCACCATTAGTTTATATCAAAATCTCTATCGTTCTTGAAATTTACGTAGTGTTTCATTATCACAAAATTTCGTATCACTTTGCATCGCGCTTAAGCCGCAAATTACAATAATCGATTGATGCTACAAATACATTATGTGTCGTCATCGTGAAATTCAAACTCGGATGATATGCTTGATATCAGAGGTTTAACCTTATCGTCCATAACTCCGCTATTGACAAAAGAACAAAGTGAACGTGTGTTGCATATTCGATGCACCAAATAAAGTCAAGCCTTCGATTGCACAGATCAAAGGATATTTCCGTCATAATATATGTTATAGAATGAAATCTTGTTTTGATTATTTTGTATACAGTACAATACACACACACGCACACGCACGCACGCGCGCGCACACACACACACACACACACACACACACACACACACACATATATATCTGCGAAGTAATTCGCATAATCCTGCTAAAAGCTGTTTTAATTGCGAAGCAATTTCTAAGCTGCTTTCCTCGCGGAAGATATAGATTTCGCGGGACTATGTAACTAGGTAACTAGGTTCCAGACTAAAGCCTGAAATAATTGCCCTCGGAACTGTCTCATGCTCAAAAAAAGGTTGTTTCACGCAGTCAACTCGTAATTCGTCCATTTGCTCCAATAATTTGCGACCGTATCGATCCGCGCCGAGCCCTGCAACGCGCATTTATACGCGGAACGTTGCATCGCCTTCGTACGTGCACGTATGGATGCACGTACGGGACGCCACGTTAATGATATTCGAGGCTTACGTGTCCTCTTCATATCATTTCATCTGATTTATTATCTTTTATAATTATTTGGCCGATCGAACATAATAGTTCTTCTTGCAAATCTGGTTTTGTTAATGCAACAAATTACATTGATTCATGATAATCATAACAATATCGATATTATGCTTAATTTGCACATTTCAAATGTTATTGTAACAAAAAACAAAATTAAAGATTAATATAAAACAATATTTTTGAAATATAAAACATAAAAATATCTTTATAAGTTCTATTCTTCATCTGGATTTAAATAATTTTATTACAAAAAATAATAATTTACGTATATATTTATTAAGATTATACTTGAAAAATTTAACTCTCTTTCTCTCTCCTCCTCTCTCTCTCTCTCTCTTTTTTTTTAATGTTATAAAATAGAAATAAATGTGTATATATATATATATATATATATATATATATATATATTATATGTTCTTTTAAAGTTTATATTTCATAGATTCAACTAGAGTGTTTCTGCTTTATTAAATTAAAATAATTGTTAGATTGGCGAACAAATAAATAAATGCATATGTGTTTTGTTATTTCTGATAACTTATTGCAAATATGTTAATTATATTTATACGGAAGACACAAGTAAAAAATTGTATACATTTTAATCTTGCACATTTATTTTATTCTTACGCTATGTTATCGCCAAATGGATTAGTCTTCTTTTGTTCTGTCATAATTTAGTAGTCTTAACATACTGCTTCAATTAATCGCATATAGATAACAAGGTCTTACAACAGATTAGTAATCACGAAGGCGCGAGTAATATGTTTGGCATTACAACGCCTTTATATAAGACAGTAAAATATCGAATAAGAATATCTATTTGCCGACAAGACGTGTGAGAACTGTTTATATTATACTTCAGTAATAATGAATAATTTAAACAAATACCATTATATATTTTCTTTATTATAATATATTACGATTATCATCATATTTGCCTTATCAAATGATTAGAAAATTGCTAGTACTAATTTTTAAAATTGATTAAAATATTCAAGGTTAAAAACACAATTTTTTAATACAAAATATTTATAATCAAAGGTATGAAATATTTTTTCTAGAATTATTACTTAGCTAATCATATTTATATTTATCTCTCTCTGTATTATACCTTACCAATTATAGAAACGGAATCTTTTATAGAAACATTGTCGCTAATGTGATCAGCATGCAAGAATATCATTATCTATACTAGATAGTATTGTTTTCATATGCACGAATTAGTGATCCGAGAACAGATTAATCGTGTCTAATCTTGTTTCCGTGATATTATCAGTCTATTGAAATGTACTGCCATTTTCTCTTATCTCTATATTTTCTTCATGTTAAATCATTCTCTATAGAATTTAATATTGGATGAAAGAATGTACTTTGCTACGAAATGTCTTCAATATAAATTTCTACATTTATTTTAACAATAAAGAAAACATAAGTTAATGGAGCTTTCAATTTTGACTGTAGATAGACATTGGAAGAAAACGAGAAAATTTAATAATTGATATGCATAGAAAATTTATAAATAAGTATTTAAATGAAACATTTTAGTATTTTTGTGAGAATAGTAGCAGATTTCGAACTACGCGACAAATAAAAGTTTAAATAGCCATTGAGCTCTAAAATTCTAGCCATGAGAGCTGCGCAGCATCTCTCAGTGTACTTTTATTTATATCACCATTTATTCTTTAAAAGCGTTCGAGAGACAAAGTTAGTTTTGCTTTTATTTTCAAAATAAGAAAGAAGAAACTTTTATTATTATTCAAAATATCACTTCGCTTATTCTTTTATTATTATACCGATGATAGCAACAATAACGATTCGAACAGATTGTAGCAAGACGAAACCGAAAACGAAGATTATAAGCTTGGAAATGTTGTTTCGCAGTCAGCTTTGGTCGCTCGACCAGAGAAATTCAACGTTTCTATCTCAACGGAAACCTATATATACAACCATAGTTTCCCCGCTAAGAGAACTTAATAGAAATTGTCGAAGCGTTTGCGCGATGCGATTATCCGCGTTAGAAACCGGCGACGAGATTGGCAACGAAATTGGCAACGAAATTGGCAACAAAATTGATCAGTCCCCCCAGATCGGTATAACAGAATGACCAACCGATCTCCTTACAGAACGACCCCAATTCCGTTTGTCCGCGATTGTTCAAGCACGGAATTTCGGCCTTTGCTCCTTTCTCTCTCTCTCTCTCTCGATTCCCCGATCGTTTTCCTGCCTGCTATCGGTGAATTTTGCACCTCTACCGCTTTTCGACAACCTGGACCACCGTCGGATTCCGTGCTGACTCGAGAGGTCAATGACGCGTGCGCGGAAACGTGATTGGATAAAAACATGTTGCGGCCCTCGCTGATGAGAGCTGCGATCGGCCAACTCGACGCATTCAGTCAGCAGAAATCGAGGAGCTCCGCTTGTACCGATTAAACGAAATCGCGCTGTCGCGGTAAAACCGGGAGTGAATTTTGCAAAAGGGTCTTACTTCGTAAATTAAGAAGTGGGTTCTGGGACATTCCAACGTTGATGCAATTTTGATATAGAAATAAATTAATGAAACACATCTTGTTAGATATAACCTTCGCACTTCGCATTTCCTTTGGGGTATTTAGGAAGTTTACTGTATTATTTATTCTATCATAATCTATCAAAATATCATATAAGATATGCAATTATCATTAGACATCAATGTCTGGGATTTTTCGACTGATATTGTTTATTTCTAATTATTCTTATAATTATTATTGTATTTGTAATTCTTTTTTATAAGAAAGTAATTTCTTAAAAATCCAACATTGTAGACTTTGAAATATGTTTGTCCAATTTTATACTAAAGTGCAGACAAAGTTTAAGTATACAATCGAGAGTATAACTTGATAACTTTAGAAGTAGATTGGCCAATTAATGAATAAATTTTTTAATTAAGTTCTGTACGATCGTAGAAGGAAACTTAAAATTGCGCCTGCATAATTTGTAGCATTCTTGACGATATTTGTCAAAGTAATATCGAGCATTACTTCTATCGGTATCCAATGCAACACATGTAAATGATATTTCTTATACAGAACCCAGAAATGGTATTTATACTGAATGAAGATATAACAGAAACTCTTGGGTACCTATACGTTTCAATTAAATTCGCGTTCACGCAGACATTTACACGTTTCCCAGGTTGTATCGGGATAGCTTTGCCGTAAGCTCTGTGCATTTCATTCGCCGGCTTTGCTGCCGAGCTTTCCAACGAAAACGTAATAAACTCTCATCCTCCTTCCTCAGTATCAGTCACAATTAAATTCAACAGGCGCACGCGGATATTAGTGACCGCGAAGAAGCTCTCGCTTTTTCGCAAAGCGTGCCAGAAAAGTGGCGGGTATTCTCAACAGACCGGAAGTACAGGCAAGAATCTTTCCTTCTCCTCTCGTAGTTCTAATTAAGAGCCAAACTAGATATCCAATTACTTCGAGATTCTAATTAAGAGCACGAGATCGAGTTGCGTTGCGCTCCCTCGCTGATCCCGGATCAGTTCGTGCTATACATATCTGAAATTGCTACATCGATACTTTGCAGAGATTTTAGTATTAATAAGAAATATTATAAATAATATCAAAACTATATATATATATATTATTTCTCAAGTTAATATTTAACAGCAATCTCTTTAGCTGCTTAATCTTTTAATATTAAAAGTATCAGAGCAATATGAAAAGTCTTTATTGTAATTATAATGTTTATGCTTATCTTTCCAGAATATCTTCTCATAATGACAACATATTATTGATCTGAGAAAATAACGAGCATGCGTGATTATATGAATACTGTAATATCTTCTATATGATCAAAATCTCTATATGATTAATTTTACATATAGAACTGTCATCATTCTCTAATTTTTTGAACAATATATAATACAGAAAAAATTTGAAAATTTTTTTAAAATTTAAAAAACTTGGGAAAATAGAGTGATTATTTCACATTTCTTTGTATATTGAATAAACAATTTTGATTTTTAAAATGTTTGATCAATCTGAAGAAATTTAAAATTTAAAATGATAAAAAAATTATTTTAATGTACTTTACAATGCTATAGATACGATAATGTGCATTGGAAAAAGTTTTATTCCGCTCAAAACAATATCCATCAAATTTAAACACTTATTTTTAACCTGCGAGAGTACAAGGATAATTGCCCGCGAATCGATATTTCTTTCACCAACAGATGTAATTACACTCTTCGAGTGATCGATTTCATGAATTAAGCGAGAGACATTTACTTACCGCATCTTCCTCGTACATCCTAAGGAAAGTCCTTAACAACGACAGCGACAAAGATAACGCGGGCAATCAATTTCTGTAAAGCGACGAAGAGGGACATTTCGTCTGTATAAGTGACCGGGATGTTGTTCGTGAAATATCGTTCGCTGTTAAAGGCAAATTGGTAACCGCGAACAATAGGAACAGTTAATCCTTTAAGTCTAATCGCAAAAAGATCATGCGGAAAGCATTCATTTTCATTACGACTCGCCGCACAGGGGTGCGCTTAGCAGAAAAATATCGCGAAGAGGGCGAAAGAAACTCCGCCATTATTCCCTCCCCTGAATACATGTGCCAAAACGGGAACTCGTGCCACGAGAACGCTTTTATCACATAAAGACCTCCAAAACATGCCGCGCTCGTACTTTACGGTCACGAATGCGCGATACTTTGTTCAACGCGGCGATTCGTTTTACGGAAACTCTCGCGATCAACCCTTCGTCGGTCGATGAGATCGGCGAAACTTGAAATTGGATCGATCCCGCTTGTAGACCGAGCTTGTAGCTACGAGACTTAGCCCGCGGCCAGGTAAAACTGCTGAGCCCTTCTCGTGTTATTCTTCACGTTATACATTGTAGTTCTTTGCCCGAGCGTGGAGATCATGAAAGGTTAATATCCGTCCACTTTCCGCAAATTGGATATCAAAGAGAGGGAGAGAGCTTTGAGCTCTCTCGCGATAAAAAGTGCCATTCAGGAAATTTCTGGTTACTTGATGCGAATATTTAAAAAAAATTTTTTTTACATCGAATATTGCTTGAAATTATAGTACATTATATATATATTCATTTTTCTTTACTATTGATCGTATCATTTTTAATCTGACGCTTTCTCATTCACTTACTTAACTTATAAAATATAGAAAGCATCTCTCTGTGAAAAATGAGCGGAAGATCGATAAGTTTGTACTATAACATTTTATAAATGGTTTTATGAAGATGGATAGAGTATTTTCTCTTATTAAAACAACCATTATACAATATTGCTTTCTTAAGTTCTTATTCAATCGATACATTTTAAACACAAAGCAATTGCTACATGTATTAATATTATAGACAAGGATATTGAAAACTTTAAGTAAGAATATACTATATGTCGTTCTTCTAATTACGGCAAAACATTTTGATGTGACTTAATTTTGAAATTTTTAAACAAATATACAATACATTATATAGAAAGTTATTTATCATTTAAAATAATAAATGCTAAATTGTGTGTATGTAATATACATTAGCATTGTTATATTTTTTATATTGTCAATGTAATATATAGTATGTATTACAATAATTATTTATAATAAAGTTTTAATAGGATATAATTATTATTCAATTTATGCTTAAATTTATACATCACGATCATGATTTTACATATAAATATTTATTATTTATTACTAATTAATGTATGCAGAATTTTCTAGAAAGTTATTTATTATTTGTTGCTAATGATTAGTGGCTTTAAATGCATTAACGCTTATATTTTCCATGCTATCAATTGATATGTAATATTATAATTATCATATCTAACAATGTTTTAATATGCATAATTATCGCATTGAGATACTTCAAGTTTATTTATTATACAGTCGCTATTTTAACTCTACGTATAATAACAGAATTTATTATTAGTCTTTCCGGTTTAATCGTTATTTAATCGTATTACATAACATATATAAATTCATTACACGCGGTTTGTACTAAAAATCATTTTCAGCGCGCGGCAAAGTTCGCAACATTTTCTATAGTAATACTTTCCGGGATGTGCAATTATTCCAACGTCACCGACCGTAACGCGCGCACAAAAGATCCGCAACACCTTCCACGCAATTTTGTTCGCGAGAATACGTAATTATAAGTGACGTGTGCATGCCTTCGACCGACTCGCTACACAACACGAATTTCCCTTACGTTCATATATGTATATGTATTGTGACGTAACGCGCGGTTCGTATCCATCAACTCGCGGTGAACGAATATACCGTACTATCGACTTTAGTTTAACTTCACAAAGGCCGTGTGTTGCTTCCTTTACGCGGAAACCGCCGATGGACTTGTTCCAGGAGCGAAAAGAACGGAGCGTTATAGTTGACCACGATCCCTTTCCCGAGTATATATAGCCAAAAACGATCCCTCTTAACCATTAATTTGTTTGCCGCGGTTGGTCCCGATACCGCACTGTGAAAGGTGTGTGACCGGTCGGGGTCACGGAAATGATAATAATTCTTTGAAACAACGACCCCGGGCACACGACCCTTCGTCACTGCCAGATGCGAATTGCCATCGCGCTTTTACGGAAAAGTAACGGCTCGGAAATAATAAATGTATACTAATGTATACTAATTTTCATGGTCTATTTTCTACCTCTATCAGCGCGATCTATATCATCACTTTTTATAGTGTTGGAAATAAATAGAAGACTCGGATATATATAAATTCCTAATGTTTCGTATACTTTCTTAAAACAAGGAAAAAGAAAACAGTATACGATATATACAATGTACGTTTGGATAAAATTGTTTTTACTGAAACAAGACTTATTTTTATGTCTAAAAGAATATTCTATTATTACGATGTGATAACTATTTGTATTTCGATGATTTTTAATTTGTCATAATTGAATTTCATCTGTTTGAAGTTTTATATGAGAAAGATAAAGTTACGAATCTCTCTTTTTTATATCAAGTTTCAAATAGATTTATTATAAAATTAATAAAAGACAAAACACGGATATTGTAAACAGCAAAACAAACATGTGTCAATACATTGGTTGAATAACCAGATATCACTGCAATATAATTTATTGAGAATTTATTGCGCTTCTCTCTCTCTTCCTGTCTTTCTCTTTCTGATTGCCGTGTATTTGTATGATATATCTGGCATTGATAGAATTGTAATCTGTCAATGAGATTGTATGTCAAATATCTGTTCTAACACGATCAATAACAGTAGCTTTCAAAGACTATGAATTTTGAGCATGATTATTTATTATCATTCAGATAATTTCTGATTGAAATAGCTTATTAATTCCATGCAAGTTTGAGAAATAATTCCTATGTTACTGATGAGGGATAACTTTTTAAATTGCGATAATAAAAAACGCTACATTAGACTATTTATTTTTAAAATATCATTGATATGTTAATTAATTGAAATAGACTAAATTTAGATTTAATTATATACTATATAAAATATATACTAAATATACATTAATTTCCAAATATATAATATTACAAAAGAATAGTGACCTCGTGTTAATCACACTTGTCTGATAATATTCCAGACAGTATATAATCTCTTATTTAAGTAAAAAACTCAGTTGCACTTCGTTATCTTTTTCTATGCATTTCAATCGCAATGAAAAAAGTTGTGTATACTTTTTAGTAATTCTCGTACAATTAGTTTTGATGACATCTTGTGAAATCACTCATTACTTACATACCAATTGCCGAAATACTCAATCAGCATTTCTGATTCGGCGCTGCCGTGAAAGTAACGCAATCACAGTGCTTGTGCAGCGAACCGGAGATTTTTGCTCGCCCTCTCACAAGAGAAAGCACATGAGCAGAATTTTCGATTACTCGGCCCGTTCTTGTCTCGCGCAATTTTCCAAATGCCATCGCTTTTCCAACCGCGTGCGAAATTCAGAAACGACAGGCAGATTTGTTAATTTCCAGCGCGGATAGTCAGGAGATAACGAGCGCAATATTACTTGCACTTGATATATATGCATAGAGCATTATGCACCGCGTTAATCTTACTTCAAAATTTTATTACTCGCATTGCGCAACAAGCTACATACAAATTAATTATTCACAATGTTGTCGGCCGAGTTATCCGCGAAACTCGTGATGGAAACTACTGCCACCAGCGCGAAAGGTAATACATATGCAGTTTCTAATTACTACCAGTTGCGTATCGCTAACAAACGATCGACCGTCGAGCGAATTACAAAATTGGCATCTGAAAAATATCGCGCAAATTGAACGAGTAGTTAACGAGTGGAGATGTTTTATCTCGACGAATTGTTATTTTTTCGTGCTGTAATAGTCGATCAAAGTCACGCAAGAATTTTACGCGCTAAAAATATATAGAGAGTCGGTTTAAATAAAATATAATCCTGTCTAATTACATAAAATTATAATTATTCATTAGAGAAAGTATAAATATACATTCTTATATTCTTCACGCAAAATCGTGCATACTATTTTGCTTGGATTTTTCTAGGTACTTTATTTATGAAAGTTACAGTCAACTGCCGCTTAAATAAAGTCGACGTAATTTTGAGTTAAGCAGCAACCATCGCATTTGCCGACTATACAATTTTCTTGCGAAAAAACGATAAAGTTTATACTAAAAGCATACTAAAACCAGTTATCGAAGGTTATTTATATATTACACGTAGCAAACATCAATTACGATATTTCATATATTTCTATTACGCAGCTAAAAAGCATAAATAAGTTTTCCATAATTTTATATATATATATAATGTGATATAAAAAATATATATACAAAAATGTATTATCAATATTAAGTATATATATCGTAGAAAAAATATTGTGTTGTGTACGTATAAACTTCTTTATTTTAAGCAATTTATTCTGTATGTGTTACGTTTTATTTTATTTCCACATAAAATTAAGTTTATTAATAAAAGATTCAATTGTGATTATGTTTTATATATACAAATAGCTCGCGTGAAAGGGCGACTTAATCATACAGAGTAGTTTACTGGAAATAAAATACTTGAATAACTCTCTTGTAGAGATTTAAAAGTACAAAAGATATTAAAAATGTAATTTGTATAATTTAAAGAGGCAAATATAAAGCGAGAAAAATTTTTATGACACAGAATAAATTCGTTTTAGTGCCAGCTATAAGGTATAAGAAAAGAGAAGAAAAATATTCTTATATTCAAAAAGAAGTATATATTGACTAGCTTGGAAAACTTTTAAATAATATGGTCATAAAAAAAGAATTGCTTCTGCATCGTTTAACTTTTACAAATTATATTTTCGACATCTCTTTCTCATATTTTCGAATTTAGAAAACTTCTTTAGATGTTCAGTTTTTGGTGGATGATTCTTTCTACATATATTATATATTATAGATTTATATTTATACACGCACGAGTAGAAAGTAGAGTTAGAACATTTCTAAATCTACATAGATGCTTGTTAGAATTTCTAACGTAAAACACATTTTCCGTTTCAGCCTCTTGAATACATATACACTTCGCGAAATCGTAACACACAACCAAATATTTAAACACCGCGATCGAAGATAAACTCAGTTTCAATCTACAGCTTCAAAATATACGAGAACATAGTAGTTATTCCTGAGATAATTTTATCTTTATAACTCGCACTATAAAAATGACTTTGAAACAAAATAATAAAAACGCACAATATTAAGAGAAAGTTATCTGTAATACAAAACTTATTCTATCAGTGACGAAGATTACTCAGCTGTTTCATTAAACGTTTTCTCGATACAAAAAATGACAGCAGACATAATATAAAATGGATGGAAAACAAGGGCAAATTCGAAACTGATATATTATTTGTGGAACATGAGTATGTGAAAAAGAATGACAATCTTCATACGCGGAAAACGAGAGAAAAATCTCGCTTATGATGCCTTAGAGCATTTATACGAAATGGCAGTGTCAGTGCAATTGACATTGCGGAAAACATGCATTTACCGTACTTTTCGATTGTACACCCAGCAAACACAGTATATAAATGTTATATACTCAAGCATGTTACATGTATATGTTAGTTGTAATTTCCCACTCATAGATGTAACATTTTTAATATTACATATATTACATTGTAGTTATATTGTCATTATATCCCAAGATAGCACTGACTTATCAATACATCAATGTACTATTTGGTATATAATTACAATATAACTACAATGTAATATATGTTATATTAAAATGTTACATCTATGAGTGGGAAATTACAACTAACATGAATGTTACATGTAACATACACGTTATATTACCTGTTATATTCCGTTTTATTATAGCAATGTAACAATTATATATCGGTGTTTGCTGGGCATCATCATTGTATTAATATAAGTACACACCATTTGAGAAATATCCTCCACGTTATTACTCTTATTCTGCGATCTTTGCTACTTCGTTAACGCAATATAAATGAGATTATCGACAGAAGAGCCTCGGCTTGACGGACATGTCGTAAACGCTTAGAGGGCACGACGTTGTAATTGCAGGAATCAGGGCGTTCTGCACGGAATGAATCGATAGTGGGGCGGTCCACGTCCCTTCCGAGGCTGTTACACCAGACTCCACGTCTGAAACTCTGCAAATAATTAAATACTCTTCGTAACAGCCAATTCCATCATAAGCCGGGACGCATTGACACAGCAGAGGCGGACAAACTTTAAAGACTTTGAAATATTAACGCTCTCTGGAGTGCGCGGTGTGATTGTGAATTTAATTCTCGACGGGTCGTCTTTTCTTCATCGCTTATCAATACCAGATTAGCAACAGAAAATCACATCTTTGATATTCTAGTTGTTCCACTTCTAAAAAAAAATCATGACTGAATAATGACCCAGCAAACACAATATATAAATGTTATATACTTAAGCATGTTACATGTAACGTATATGTTAGTTGTAATTTCCCACACTCATAGATGTAACATTTTTAATATTACATATATTACATTGTAGTTATATTGTCATTATATCCCAAGATAGCACTGACTTATCAATACATCAATGTGCTATTTGATATATAATTACAATATAACTACAATGTAATATATGTTATATTAAAATGTTACATCTATGAGTGGGAAATTACAACTAACATGGATGTTACATGTAACGTACACGTTATATTACCTGTTACATTCCTGTTTTATTATAGCAATGTAACAATTATATATCGGTGTTTGCTGGGGAATGACAGTACAATTTCGAAAATTAGAATTAACGAGATTTATGTGAGCTTGAAAAATAAATAAATAGATAAGACAAAAAGAGAGAGGAAGTTTCAAATAAACCGTGAGAAGTAAAACTCGCGAAACTTTTAAGCACGATGCCCGCGTAGCCGACTTAACGTCTTTGTTAGTCCACGAAACCAAGGTGTCATAAACTGATACTTGGTAGGCACTTACGTCTTGAGAACGGGCGGTGCATAAAGAGTGAGAGGATTCACAAGCGGCGGTTTCAAAAGCACAACGTCGACGCCAGAGGAATGTAATTCGCTTTTTAACGCTTCGGCGGCACCTTCCACGGCCCGACGAGATGCGCTGAACGCCACTAATCCGGAGCCCGTTTTGCTGCCGTAGCTCGTCTCGGAGTCACCCAAAAGGACGATGCGGCCTTGCGGGAACAGATATTTTTGATAAGCAGCTTAAAGAATGAATACGGCTTTCCTATACCGATGAATAATCAGTCTTGCCGCTGTACGCCTCGCGTAGATACTTTACTTTATGCGAGACATAAACGCGCTATTGTGCAATATCGGCTTTCAAAGGAGCAGCTCACTTTCTCGAGAAGCGACCAAAATTTCTCATTAACCTGGCTTGGCAGACAGAGAGAGGAAGAGAGAGAGAGAGAGAGAGAAGAGAGACAACTATCTTTAATATATATAATTTAGCACGCGAATTGCTTTATTTTCTCTGGATGATATAATACTCGATTAAAAAAGAATTTTGGTTACACTTGAAGCTATATGTTACTATTATTATTTTACAATTATAATAATCAGACTAAATTATTGGGAAACTTTACTAACGTTTCTCGAAGAAATAAGCTACTCCTTTGAAAGTCACTGTATAGGTTGTTTAAAATATTGTATTTAAAAATAATCTTATATCTTTAAATCCTCTCCCTAAAATAAAAGCAAAGAAACTGATTGATGATATTTATATAATTTTACAATTGTTAATAATTTTAATTATTTTGTCATTTGCAAAAAGATAAAATAATTTTTATAGCAATTTTTACAAAATTTCAACTCTTTATATTGATTAAAAAATCTTAATCGCAATATAATCAATAATAAAAAATTTTTCTCACATTATTCAGAAAACAATTATCTTCTTCAACTATTATATATAGTATGAGATGAAAAACTGTCTTTCATGTACAGCGGCAGAGATAATGGTTTCTCTAATTTATAATAAGTATATTTAACGAACCTCTTTTAATACGCAAAAGAGGAATGAATACTCTGGCCGTTCTGAGAGGAGCGACCAGATTATGACGTAACATGGACTCCCACATTGAGCTGGTCTGTTTCTCTATGACACCTGGCAGAACCAAGCCACCCGTGTGCACAACCGCCCAGAGACCTGCAATTAAGTGAAGTTCAGTACTTTGACGTACTTAAAGCGATCGTCTTCGCGCAGAAACGAAGTAGACGAAGTTTATTTTACCGAACTTAAATTTCACCCGTATCGATTTCGCGCTAACGAGAACGTTATGTACAGATAGTAGCGAGAAATAGGGAGTAATTACGGTTTCTAATGATATCGAGCATCTCTCTGAAATTACATTTCCAATCTCGAGCATGACTTATGATAATGAAAATATATTTCCATTTACTTAAATTAGCTACGCTAACTAACATTAAGTAAATGTATATTCGATGCGCTTTCTTTTCATTTTTTCGCAACGAATACATTCGTCTGACAGCTTCGCGGAGCGAACAAGCTCTATAACAAATAGCAGAGATCTACGAAGCTGACGTTTGCATTTATTTATTCTATACAATGAAAGAAATATCCTCGTGTTTTCCTATTACATTTTTGTTGTATTATGCAATATCGTACGAGATTTATCATGTAATCTATGTAAATACTTGTCGGATAAAAATTTATTAAGTTCAACATTAAAAGTATTGAAAATTTAGTATCAAAACTTTTTAAATAATTTACTTGAATATTTTGCTTTTATCTCTCATCTTATATATTTTTGTTCTAAAATTTGTGGTATCTATCCTGACACTCTTACACAATACATTTTACTCGACGTCGATATATGTCATAGATTCATCAATATCAATTCAGTCAATAAAACCCTAAGGGGTGCTTTATGGAATCTATAACAAGATTGCTAAATTATTATGATAGTAAGTATTGATTACATCACTAAAACACATTCTGAGTTCAAATTTCGTATACGTCAGTATGTATTGTATGTTTTAGAGAGTATTGTCGTGTAAGTTCCATAAAGTTTCCCTCAGGGTTTTATCGACCGGATAAAGATTGATGAATCTATTACATATATAAAATCGAGCAAAATACAGGAATTGAGAGGGTCACAACAAATATTATGAATTTCGAAACCAAAATATTTAAGACGAGAGATAAAAACAAAATATTCAAGTAAATTATTCGCGAAAATACATTGAAATATAAAATATTCTTTAATCATTCTTAATATACATTAAAATATCAAATATATTTCTGAAAATTCAATAATACTCTTTCTTTTCTCACAAATAAAATTAACAGCAAAATTAAAGTCATATATAAAAGTAAAATTGAATATATAAAAGCTTTTGAATTTTCTACTGAATAAATATCGAAAATTGTTGAAAATATATAATAACTGGACGTACGTAATATATTGTACAATACATTAAATATAAAGAGGAATAATTATTTCATTTTACTTGTGTACATTTATGACTCCATGTAGTTAATTATATAAAAAAAGATAATTGCGTCGTATAAAATACTAAAGTGTTTACAAAACAATATAATTATAAGGTATTTGTCGCTATATTACAAGCCAAGAAATATATATATATATATATATATATCTTTCAATGCAGAATTACGAGAATATATTGTATATGAAGTAAAAATTCAATTTGCATATGGAAATATAGTATTGAATTTTCTATTGTTAGTTTCCACACTGCAACTATAATAAATCATAATAAATAATAAAGACAAAAAGAAAAGACTGTTTTTTAACATTGTTATATATAAAGTATTGATAAAATGACATATATACAAAATTGTGTTCTATAAAATTAAATATATGTATTTTCATAAATATTATATGTATAACAACAAATTATAAAAATTATATGAATATATTTTTCTTATATTTCCATATTGCACTTTGATAGATTAACAAAAATATTAATCGTTTCACAATTAAATATTAAACAAAAGGTAGAAATTAATTTTCGACGATGATTTTAATATCAGAATGGCTTTAATATACGATAGGGACCAGTACTGTAACGTCAAGGAAGTAATTATAAACTAAAGCAAAACTAAAGCGGAGAGAAAGCATAGCTATTAAAAGCGTTGTTTACATAGACGATGCACTTTCTACATAGATTGCATGTAAATGAATCATTTACATAGTCTATATGTAGTACAACATTGATTAATATCTTCATAATATGAGAGAATTTAAGTTTTCCGAAATAGTGACATGAAAATAATGCTGAAATTTGTACCTAAAAAATTTTTCATTCTATCGTATAACTTTAAGTATACATATAATGGCTGGTTTCTTCAGTGTCAATTTTTTACGAGAGATAAATAAAAAATTTACACTATAATCCTAAAAGATATTGCATGTATAACAGCTTTTATTTTACTAATTACACACATATGGAAAATATTCTGCAATAAATATTAATTCTCAATAACGTCTGTTTTAAATCATATATAAAATCTATATTTATTTACTCGTTGATTAATTCTCTCGTCAGTGAATTCTTTATTCATTTTACAATAGTATTACAAGAAAAGATATGTGTCTATCTCTCGATTAATTTTATTCAATTTTTTTTACTGAAGAAACCAGACTAGATAATAATAAAAAATATCTTGCCATCTTCGCCGGCAGGAAGTTTCGCCCTGACGGCGTCCAAACATGCGCGCAAACTGTCCTCTCTCGTAGGATCTAGCTCCAATGGCACGATTTGGCCGCGGGCGTGTACAGCTTCCGGTTGTTGTGAATTACTGTCGCCCGCACTTCCGGGTTCGCTCTCTTTCTGCCGCTCCGACTCGATCGCCTTTAGAATTTTGACCGACGGCGAGCCGCCCGTTGGGTCCAGCAGACCTGCGAACACCTGTCGCAGAAGGAGAACATGACGTCATATACATTATGTTTTGAAAGCCCATCGTCGCCGCAATCCCGCGTGCCACTCCGTTACACGCACGCCATATCAACACCGCTCGATAACGCGTTATGCTTTGATGCTGATACGTCATGTTAAATGACACATGAGCTCGTTTATGATCAATGAACTGTATCTTAAATAAGAAATGAAATCTTGCATTTTTTTCGAGGCTCGCTTTAATTTAATTCCACAAAAATTTAACGATCTCAATTACTGCTAATTGCAACTGATTTTAAAATAAATATTATATAAATAATGCTTAGGCTAAAATATATTAAACAATTTAATAATATATAAAGTAATTTTTTATTAATATTACTGTTGATAATTAATATTACTGTTATTATTTGAATAGTTTTTGAAATATTCTTATTTATAATATTAGTTTCCGAAAATCGGTGTTAAATGTGCCGAGTACAAACTCTTGAAGTTATATATAAGTACAAACTTATTTAACTTCAAGGAACTTTGATATTTTTTAATGTTCTTGTATTTTAAATAACGCTTCAAAGCACTTTTCCATATTCATTTAGTACTGCTTTGAGTTATTAATTGGAAAAACCAATTAAATCATTTAACGGTCTTCATGTAAATCAGCTGCGGTCGTTTGACATGTGCGGCTCTTGGTGCGCAAAAGGTAATAGAGGTAATCCAAAGCTCGAATTTCAGACACGTGGAACAATCGAACCACAATTGGAATCCGTTCACAGATGACCTATATTAATTTTACCTTTGTACGACATGAAAGTTTCGTACTCCTTTCAGTTCTAATTTAAAGTGCATACTTAGCTAATATGGGAATGATGTAAGTTAATTAACTGTAAATCGCTTTTATCAATTAAATTAGACCAAATTTCGACATTAAATTACATTAAATTCTACATTAATCTAAATGTAAAAAAAAGCAGTAAATGATTAGACAATATAAAATTAATTTTATAATTGAAATAAAATAATGGGATGGAATTAAACTATTTTAAATTTTTGCGCGTATTACATAATTATCAGCCTCGTGCGAGTGTTAGTATTATATTTTTTTAGAGCGCTAATTTATATAATATAGAACATGTACCTAATTTTAATATGTATTGATTTGATTTCAAGGCCAAAGCTTTCGCAAGATCAGTATGAAATTCGCGTTGCAAGGTCCTACTCGTGTAGAATCCGACTTTATTACCGAATATCCATCTTTTAATGATGATCTTTGATTTTGAGCAGCTTTTGCGTCATGACGCGATATACTCATATCGAGATAGGTGAATACGTGAATATCTGTCGAGAGATTGTCGGCAGAACTGATTTAAGGGCTCACCGATGTTCCGCTCCCTTGACACAAGGAAACTAATTTGGAGTCCGGACTCCGACAATTTGAAATATGTTGCACCCTCGAAGGGATAATAGGGATTCTGACATGAGGCTGCGAGATATCGCGTTTCACCGGTTGTCATCGTGTTGCACGTCACCGTTCAACTTTGGCTGCACAACCGCAAAAAGAGTGGACATATGTATGAGAGGATGTCTGACGCCAATCCATTCTAACGTTAGCATGTCCGAGAGAGAACTGTCAGTTATTCGCAAAGCTAGTTTCTCATCTCTCCACAATGAAGAAAGTTAAGATGTTAATTTTCGAACAAAATTAATTTCGACAAAAATATATATTGTATATTTTTTTGGTACCAAATTGCATTCGCCATTGATAATTCAAGATAAAAATATAGTGAAAATAATTACTGCGATCTAATTGTTGTCACAGAGAAATTTGCAATATATAGAGACAAATCACAATTGGTTACAATAATATAATAACTGTCGACAGTTGCCTATCCTATACTGGTTTCCCACTAGTTGACGTGACAACAAAAACATTCAGTACGATTCCCACGCAATGAAGCTGCGAGCCGTTATTTTGTACAACCTTCGACATTCCGCGTGGTTTTCTCTCTCTCTCTCTCTCTCTCTCCCTCTTTTATCCGAGTTTGAATATTTACCAACCGCAGAATATCGGCGGTTGTGTGGTATAACACAACCGGAGGGAGGGCAAATGTACGAGAGAAGTTTACGTAGCGCGGGTAATTTATGGCAGAGATGCCATATACTCTTCCTCCATCCTCTCGATCGTTATTACCTTGTAACCGGCCTCGTAAAGCGCGATGGCGATTTGCAAGCCTACGCATGTGTCACAGCTGGTGACGAGTACGTGACGTTTGTTACGCGATTCGTACTCATCGGCTGCATTCCTGGACTGTCGCATCAGATAGGCCAATAGAGCTGCGACTATCGAGCACAGAGCCAATATTTGCAGGGCCAGAATGGTCCCGGTTTCAACATCCATTGTGCGACTAGTTGCGGCCACAGCAGATCTGCGAGATAAAAGGAACAATCGTTAATCGTCGGCTAACGGATTCATTTTTATTAAACCTCGATATGTCACTCAAATTTGAAAACATTTCAGTGACAGATGAATTTTGTCGTCGCTTTTTCTGTGTTGAATACATGCATTCGCATTTTTTCTTAATAAATTTAGATATTATTATCTCTTTTTTTCTCTCTAAAAATAATATTGTATATTGAAAAATATATTTTATGAAAAATGCTTATCGTTAATAGATTTACACACACAGCCACGGATTTGATTTAATTTTAATAGTCTGAACTATCATAGCTCATCAATGTGATCAATAATGAATATTCTCCATTTGATTTCGAATCTCGTTTTTATATTTCGATAAATATTATTACATACAAAATATTGATTATGAAGTAAAAAAATAGTTCTCTTCATTTATTAAATAGGTCTTTTCATTTATTAAATAGGTATATTATAAATATTATTTATGCCACGCATACAAATATACTACTTTTATATTAAAATTTTTTAATATATTTAACAAGTTCAAAGCAAGTGCATGCAGCATATTTTTGCAAAGCCGAAATAGTATACAAATATTTTCACAAATAATTATGTAAGAATGTTCTTGCAGAATTATAATCAACGATAAATAGACTATTTATTGAATATACATACATATATTTCACGTGTTATCTAAAATGGTATTCAATGATGATAATATCACTTAATGATAATAACGACATTAACTTTCGCAAAGCGACAATTACTAATTAATTAAAGAGATATATTCTGGCATGAAAATCGTGATGCAGCGCTAATGAATAAGTTTCAAAGGAAAGTGCTTTATTATCTTTAATATGGCACTTTTATCATAGAACGCTAACAATAGAAGGCATAAATTTCAAGTATCCATATTTCTTACAAGATGAATGAGATATTTGTTAATTATATGAATGCACCTATATCGTGACGAGACTCTATAATTAGAAAGTCAAATATCTAACAAAAATTGATATGTACTTACAAAATTGCAAATACAATTTCTAATGTAAGTAATAAATTTCTAATGTCAATCTAGAATTTTAATTTTGAATTTTAAACTTAAAATATATATATATATAAGTATAATAAATCTGCTCGCTCAAGAGAGAAATTCGAAAGTTTTATCGTATAATTTTTATGAGTTTTTAATACTTGTTTAATACTTTTTTACATTTTCATATATCTCGAAGATTGATATATATTTTTTTTTTTCATTTTTAAGAGAACCGTGTTAAATGGGGAAGCAATGTTCATAAGAATGAAGCTTTTTAACAAGCGGAGATTCGATAGATGAAAGAATGAAAAAGAGTTTAAGAAGCGTAGTCGGAGAATTGGTTCTCTTGTGAAAAGTGAACGGTGAGGCGGAGTCGCTTTTGCTCGCGAAGAATCACTCGCCTTTCTAAATTCTGTATCTATAGGCTCTATGGGTCTACCACCGATTTTCCGCGATGCTTGCCCGCTCGTCGGAAAATCGCTTGCCGGAGGGATTATTCGCGAGATAGACCGATGGACACACAGCGGAATTCCGACAATCGATGAAAATCGTGCGCGTTCGTTCCTCCTCGCTTGGCTGATTTAATAGCGGCGGAACCATGTACCGCTAATGTGCCGAATCGATTAAACGGGCCGTCGTATTTCAGGTCGTATCGTATACTAGGGAGGGGACATTTTCTCCCGCGGTGTTTCTTCGCGCTTTCTCGCCGATCGCTATTTATAATGAACATCGCACGGCGTCTTTGCGATTCACGCACCGTGAATCGAGCGATTAATGCGATGTCCGGGGATCTAGATATCTCTCTTAAGTATAGAGAGAAGTTGATTGACAAGAGCAAAATATTCATCCGGATTTAATTCTCGATCCGAGAAATTTCGAATATGCACTGAAAAAAAAATTTTGTTGGATTAACAAAAATTCTGTTCGAAAATGGACGAAACGGAATGGTTCTGGTTGAATCTACCAGAATTCCTTTTAATACAACAAATATCTTGTTTGCACCAACAAACTGATTTGTTGTACAAACAAGATGCTTGTTACATTAAAAGGAATTCTTGTTGCATTAAAAGGAATTCTGGTAGATTCAACCAGTAATTCCGTTTTGTCCATTTTCGAACAGAATTTTTGTTAATCCAACAAAATTTTTTTTCCAGTGTGGAAATATAAAAATCGTAGTAATAAAAAGTAAGCCAAAAATGAAGATTAAAAAAATTTATTTTAAGAGTGAGATTAGAACGATTAATGCGATGTCCGGGGATCTAGATATCTCTCTTAAGTATAGAGAGAAGTTGATTGACAAGAGCAAAATATTCATCCGGATTTAATTCTTGATCCGAGAAATTTCGAATATGCACTGAAAAAAAAATTTTGTTGGATTAACAAAAATTATGTTCAAAAATGGACGAAACGGAATGGTTCTGGTTGAATCTACCAGAATTCCTTTTAATACAACAAATATCTTGTTTGCATTAACAAACTGATTTGTTGTACAAACAAGATGCTTGTTACATTAAAAGGAATTCTGGTAGATTCTTGTTGCATTAAAAGGAATTCTGGTAGATTCAACTAGTAATTCCGTTTCGTCCATTTTCGAACAGAATTTTTGTTAATTCAACAAAATTTTTTTTCCAGTGTGGAAATATAAAAATCGTAGTAATAAAAAGTAAGCCAAAAATGAAGATTGGAAAAATTTATTTTAAGAGTGAGATTAGAACGATTAATGCGATGTCCGGGGATCTAGATATCTCTCTTAAGTATAGAGAGAAGTTGATTGACAAGAGCAAAATATTCATCCGGATTTTTTAATTCTCGATCCGAGAAATTTCGAATATGGAAATATAAAAATCGTAGTAATCAAAAGTAAGCCAAAAATGAAGATTGGAAAATTAAAAATTTATTTTAAGAGTGAGATTAGAATTCCTTGGCATCCCAGATGGAAGCAAAACTTCATCGATCGCACAACTCAAGACAGCAAGACAGCTGCGATATAGTTCGTACGAATTTCTCTGAGAGAACATTATTCTCTCTCTTTCTATCTCTCTCTCTCGGTATGTAAACGTCGGTTCGCACACACGAAAGGGTAGATGCATTCCTCTCGAAGAGCATTGTCCGATGCATATCAGACATAAATATACGTATATGCTGTAAAAGAGATATACCGAGACGTGAAACCGATGTTTGCCTCGCATATTGCACGGTAGCATTCTCAAGAAGCTTTCTCGCATGCGCATTCACATTTCTGATATTTTCAGTATCCCCTCCGGCGAAATGAAAAGAAACATTGTTATTTATGTTTCATTTATCCGCATTTTTTCGAAGTCCCTTGATTAAAGATGACGCACGGAGAGAAGGCTGAAAAAAGTAGGGGATACTTTATTTTTATTATCATATCCTCCTACACCAACTTTTTCTTTTTGCACAAGACAACATTTCCGTTGACGAGTACTTTGTATTAATATACGCGTTTGCTTGTTGTAAAAAAAAAAAGTCTTCATGTCATTGCTGAGCAAATCCACATACGTGTCCATTTCAGAAAATAAGAAATTTCACATATAGATATTTCCCCTCTTCGAAGATGTCATCCGCATAAATATACGAAGCAAACAGAGATGTGCGAAAAAGTGATGTATAAAAAGCGTCATAACTTTATATTAAAGAACGCTAGCTTGGCATTTGAGATGTGTTTGCACAAAAACTAGGCGGTTTCTTTTGCGACATCTTCTTCCGATCGAGTTGACTGCAGTCACACGATTTTCCGTATCCGTCAAAATGTCAGGAAGACGTCGCAGTTTTGCTGCAGGGATATAATATTTGTTGTAGAATAGAAGTGACAGTTGTATACACGTGTATCACTAGTGACCCCTCTGTCATTTCTCGATAACAAATCTTGATCGCGAAACATGATTTTGCACATCGGTCATAACGAAGTACTCCTCGACATATACGCCTAATAAATTAGCGTAGTTTGTCACTCTCGATGCTGAAATTAATACGTTTCATCACTTTTGCATGGAATTCGTCCATCCTCACATGTGTGCAAATTTAATGTAAGTGTGCATACGCAGCACGTTTCTCTCTTCCTGCTGGATCGTATTATCGTGATTGACTTTCTCCAGAATTCGAGCGTCAGCTAGAAGCTTCACGTCGAAGAACGTCGTATCTGCGATATACAGGGTGTAACAAAAATTTGGATGCGTTATTTTAAAAGCAGATTCTACTCATCGAAACGAGCAAAAAATTCATACTCGAAAATGCACGTTTTCACGTTATAGTCATATTAATTTTAAATAATAAATTACAAGACGTATGATTTTATTTTAGTTAATACAAAACAGTAAAAATAATTCTCATAGTTTAAAATAACTCATTCTTAAGTAAAATGAGTAAATTGTTTTTCAAAAATTGTCTCTTAGCAGTAAACTGTCAAGTGTCCTGACAGGACGAAAGGATCAAATTTTTGGACATATGTTCATATGAATTTTTTTACTCATTTTGATGAATAGAATACGCTCCTGAAGTAGCGGCACATTTTTATTATACCGTGTATAGCTGGATTGATTATCTTTATTCAAAAATATCTGCATAAATTTGATTAATCATGCTTGATTTATTACCTCGAGAACTGTTATGTGACACCAATTATTGCATTTATATTTTCTAAATACATATAATACAATATTTTTAATAAAATTCTTAATCAAATATGTTATATTTATTAATGAATTAAATACTGATATATAAATTATATTATTTATATAAAGAGAAATTATAAACATTGTCATATACTAATATTTCTGAAAAAGGTAAAAATCATATTTACATGCAGTATTTTCTTTATTAAGCAGCGTCAAGGAAAAATATTACATAATAAATAAATACAAAGCAATATCCTTGTACTCCGTAAATGAGAAATTCTCACGTAATTATTTCGTTAATGATTTCTCTCTCTAGGTTTGGAATTGAATATATAACGT